TAACAATTCATTACAGATAAAAATAACAATTCATTACAAACAAAAATAACAATTCATTACCGGGGAAAAAAGTATTCATTACGATAATAATTCATTACAGACAAAAACAAACAAAAATCATTACAGACAAAAATAGTACTTGATTAATAATTCATTACAGACAAAATAACAATTCGTAACAGAAAAGATAATTAATTACAGATAAAAATAGCAATTCATTATAGATAAAAAAAAATCAATATTCATTACGGAAAAATAGTTATTCATTAATAATTCATTACAGACAAAATAGCAATTCATTTTAGACAAAAATAACAATTCATTACAGAAAAAAAAAAGTTATTTTCATTAATAATTCATTACAGACAAAATAGCAATTCATTATAGACAAAAATAACAATTCATTATGGACAAAAATAACGATTCATTACAGACAAAATCACGATTCATTACAAAACAATTCATTACAGACAAATTAATAATTGATTTATGAAAAATCATAATTGAAAATAAATAGCAATTCATTACAGACAAAAATGACGATTTTTTTTCGACTAAGTAAGCGTTCCTCTTAAAAATTTTAGCAGAATAAAAACATGTAAAACAGATTTATCCTACCATAACCAAAGCTGTGTGTAGATATATAATATATAGGACTTTGATCATAACTTGCGCAGACTTCTGAACAGACCGACGTGTCAAAGTTTAGCGAAGCCATAGCTACGATTGTGACGTCACGTTACTGTATCGTCGGAGTTGGTTGGTAGCAATGTGGTGAAGATATATGTGATGATCTGTGAGATGTTAAATATGAATGTAATAAGGTACTGATGTTGTATTGTTATTCGGGGAGCCACGGCGGCTAAGTGGGCAAGACGCTGGCTCGCTAGGCTGGAGGTCGCGTGTTCGATCCTTGCATTGGCCGAGGAAATTCATCGGGATTTTCCGACATGGTTTCCCCTTGTCAGTGGTGCAGGACAGAGAGCCTGACAGGGACAGCTGTCTAGTCGTTCGGATGAGACGAAAAACATTGGCGTGCACGTAAAAGATCCCTTAGCAGTTTGAATTCGAGTAGGTCATAGTGCCGCTGCCCAGGCAAAATTTCCCTCATGAGTCATAGCACACGGTATGGCCTATGCCCGTCTTAATTAGCCCAGCCCTGTTTCATTTATTTCCTATATGGTTGCCTGTCCAACCTCGTGGGTTTTCTCCAGGTCCCCCGGATTGATCCCACTGCTAAAGACCCCTACGCGCAAGTGAATTATTGAAATAAAATTGAACCATGTTAGTCCCTAAATGACCTAGTTTGAGACGAGTGGACGTTAAACCCCATTTCTCTCTCTCTCTCGTCCAAAATTTTCTTCTTAGGCCCCAGGCACTGTAAGGTAACTAGACAGTGTTCTATAATCCGCTTAACGTCAATCCGAGTCATTATTGATAATTACCTGATGGGTCATACTTGACGAGCTTTATGGCTTTTGAAGTAGTGCATGAAATATTACCTATTATAAGTCGATGATGATAATTGATTGAATCCCATCCAATTTATCAGGTATATTGTGATTTAACAATATGTTATAGCAGAGGTAAATTCTATCATATAATAAAAATGTCATGAAAACTATATTGATATGCTTATTAATGGTAGTGATCCATTGAATGATTACCTTCTTACGAATATTGAAATAATTTTACGTAGAATGTATTAATTTAATATCTGCCATTGGAATAGTTTGGTATAAATGTTAGCACGTGCGCGCTGTATCATAAGGTCTGTCATTGAGTCAACTGGTTTGGTTTCGTTTTCTCCGGGTTCTCCGGTTTCCTCCCACTGCTAAAGACCCCTAAGCGCAAGCAACTTATTGAAATAAAATTAACCATATGTTAGTCCAGAAATGATATAGTTTGTGTCGAGTGGACGTTAAAACCCATTTCTCTCTCTATCTATCTCTCAGCCAGAGGTCATCACCATGCAACAGACGAGTTTATCACACTGTAAAACCTACTACAAAAGCAAAACAAAACAAAAAAATGTTACCTAGGTGTGACTTGTGAGTGTGTTAGGAGTGTTTATTAGCTAGATGTGGATGTGTTTAGTAAATGTTAGCTAGACGTGGGTGTGTTTATTAATTGTTAGCTAGACGTGGGTATGTTAGGGGTGTTTATTAAATGTTAGCTAGACGTGGGTGTGTTAGGGGTGTTTATTAAATGTTAGCTAGACCTGGGTGTGTTAGGGGTGTTTATTGAATGTTAGCTAGACGTGGGGTGGGTGTGTTTATTAAATGTTAGCTAGACCTGAGTGTGTTAGGGGTGTTTATTTAATGTTAGCTAGACGTGGGTTTGTTAGGGGTGTTTATTAAATGTTAGCTAGACGTAGGTGTGTTAGGGGTGTTTATTAAATGTTAGCTAGGTGTGGGTGTGTTTATTAAATGTTAGTTAGGTGTGGGTGCGTTTATTAAATGTTAGCTAGACGTGGGTGTGTTTATTAAATGTTAGCTAGATGTTAGAGGTGTTTATTAAATGTTAGCTAGGTATGGGTGTTTTAGAGGTGTTTATAAAATGTTAGCTAGGTTTGGGTGTGTTGGGGGTATTTATTAAATGTTAACTAGGTATTCGGAATGTTAGTTGTGTTTAATAAATGTTAGCTAGATGTGGGTGTGTTTATTAAAGTGGTATCAGACGTTCTATACTTTTACGTCATCTCATTGGTCTCAAAGATTTAAAGGGACAATAACGCTCTTGCTGGCTTGAAAGCTCCAGAAAATAAATAATATCTCTATCTAAGTACTAGATGTTTAAGTGTCCTACCTGTTGTGTAAATTATCCATTACATCCTATTTTACTTGTCCAGAGGGTTCGAAAATATTTTTAAATCGAAGTTTCATTTGAAAAGGTTTACGTTAGACGTTTCAAACCATGATGTTGAATTTTTCAAAATTTTTAAATAAGGTGTGTTAAGATGAAATTTGTATCATCAATTAATTGAAATATTCTGAAATAGTACAATTTGTTGACCAGAATAAAGATTGAGACATATTATTCAGTTACAACAAGAGTGGTATTGAGCCTTTAACTACTTGACAGTTGGGATTCTGAATTATCACCAATCTGATTGAAACACAGATCCGATTTATTTTCGTTCCACCTCGACATAGAACGTTTCTCGTGATTCGGGTTTCCCCTTAAACTGAAGTCGTGCAGGATGTGCTCATGTCCGTTGGCATTATCCCGGTTAGAGTCACCTGGAGTGGTTTCGATTCCCCGGATGTACGTGATAAGGAGTATGATCGCATGTCCAACCTCGTGGGTTTTCTCCGATTTGCTCCCACTGCTAAAAACCTCTACGCGCAAGCGAATGATTGATATAAAATTAAACCATATGTTAGTCCCGAAATGACCTAGTGTGTGTCGAGTGGACGTTAAATCCTCTCTCTCTCTCTCTCTCTCTCTCTCTCTCTCACACACACACAGTATAAGTTATTGTCAACAATAAATAAATGGAATATATAACTATTACCAAGTAATGCTATTAGTAAACATGGCATACAACTGGCTAAACACAGAAGTCTATATACAGTTCATCGACCCGTGTGTGTTTTTTTCTAAAATGGGTTGCGAGTTCACGACGCTGCGTCATGGTCGGTGACCTAATACATTACACCTTGATTTCTCTACTTCATTGATAAAAAAAGTCACCAAAACAACATAAAGGAACGAACACTCCTTCGTGGGTCAAACATTTGTAAAAATGCTTATATCATTTCCTTTATTTTTCTGTTAGTTTTTTACTTTTTTTTAAAATAAGTTATGATTTTTGTTTCTCAGTAGGGTGTATTCATATTCATTCACGAGAAACTTTTATAAAAATGGCTGTTTAGTATATTGTATACTGTGATAGATCACTCACTACATAATAACTGCATTATCCAGTCATTCCTTCAAACCAGATTTTTCCTGTCAATGCTTGGTAGGATAGATAGGTTGGAAATTTATAATAACTATTGGTTGACAGTATGCACGAAGATGGCCAATCTTAAAGGGCGTATGGCTGTATTTTTTTGAAGCATAAATGGGTCTAAAACCACATATTAATGTAATATGAGTCTATATTTAAAGTGATTTATATTCAATTTAAAAAAAAAAAAATGTAATTTCTAATCATTTATGTTCGGTAAAATACGCGAACAGTCATAACTGAACGACAATAGTTTACGCCTAATTAGCCCATTCTTCACGTTTTTAATTAATATTTTATCATTTGTGAATCAGCAGCCATTACTATTTACTGCCGCATTGTAATTTAGGTTATGTATTTCTTTGTTTATTCCTTTTGTGCCCGAAATGATAGGGTCCCCGACTCGTGTGCGGATTTTAAAATGTTCATTAAATATTGGATATTAAGATCCAACATTTTCACAAGATAATAACATCAATATAGATTGGATTGGACCAACATTTAATTCTAATTTTCGTTTTTAATTTCGAATATTATGGAAAATGTAGTACGTGTTATTTACAGGGTATTGCTTACAGAATTATCCCCGCGAAAGCAGACAACATGCCATAAAGACTCACAGAAAATGATGTCATAGGGGGGAAACCCATAAAAGCTCCTGTAATCGTCAACCACAAATTACGCTGTCTTAAACATAGTTGCATCATCAACCCACAAATGAGTACATCCGCTCAAATTTTTTCGTCGCATGACACCCGGATAAAAATAACTATGTTATGATGAAATACAACAATAACAAACAAAAAAGTAGACTTGTTTTTCGTGAAAACGTTGACTTCCATTCCTCCAACACATGCAAACTGAGTCTTTACTGCTACACTCAGCGTGATTTGGCTTCTTGAACGAGCCTTGCATTCGGTTTCCCTGTGATCATGCCTTCGCAAAGCAAGGTCAATGTCGTTTGGTATTCAAAGACTTCCCATTGGTTGATATGCATCGACTCATCCTCTCCATTGGTTAGCTATTTACATTTGGCCGTGCTAACTGACAGCGTGTCACGTGGATATCGTCCTTGAGCTATAGTGTCAGTGAAGTACCGAGGGTTCACACAAATATACTAAAATTACTGGGTATCGGATGTTAGAAAGAGCGGAGAGCAAGACACATTTTAACGGATAATAGTTATACAAAGGTAGGCGAAATATTGAATATAAAATGATCTATCTAAATCTTGATTATTTTGTGTTTAGCCTAAGAAATATGGTTTATTATTATGCCGACTGTTTTTAGATCTGAAGCTGTCAATACCATTAACAACAGCTGATAGAACGGAATACAACACGGTGGGCAATATCAACGTTATGAATGAACAGTCTTAGATCTGCCTAATTTGGTGTTATGGCTAGCGGCTATTGTATGATGGTATATAATATATATTATATAACACCAAATAGTAAAATAATTAATTGTATTGAAAAAAAGTTAGGCTATATTACATGAATTTTATTAAAATATTTCAGCAAGTTGCGTAATGTTTATATTTTTTTGTGCTAATATGATTTCATATTGGTTTCAAAATGGAGAACTATATTGATTTTGTTTAACGTCTACATGTGAAAATCAATATCGAATTATTTTGTCATTTATTTTTTTGTCGAGTATTTTCAATTAGTCATTAATCATTCCGTTATTGTAAATTATGCATACCGCTGAACTATTCTTTGAAATGATCAACATTAAATTGGAGTCCAGGTTCATGAATACTGACTGCCATGTTGGTGATGTTTAAATAGTTCCCCTAGGAACTGTCGTCTGATCAGAGGGGGGAATGCTCACTAGTCTGCGGGTTCATTAGTCCATTGATATCTATTATTAGGGTTAGGGTTAGGGTTCATTAGTCCACCCATATCTATTACCAGGGTTTGGTTAGGGTTAGGTTTATTGATACCCATATTTATAGCATTTCTTATAGCGGCGGACTAGTAAACCCTCTCGATCAGAGGCCGTTCCTAAAGGAGCTGGTGTTTAAATAACATAGAACGATCTAAGCCTAACAAACGGATTCAAAAGGATTAAGAAAAGGTTTGGTTCTATATTAGATTCCTCGTATTACTCTATATTCGATGTGATGAGTCGTGAATTTACAGTAGTAGATGATTGAATCCGGTATCTAGGACGGACATTGAATCATGTTGGTGGCTTTCATTTCCTGCTCTGCTCTTAAACCCCCCTGTGAATCAGAAGATCGTAATGAAATGTTCGAGTTCTGAATCGTTAGTTCGTTCCCGGAGTTTTACGTCCACTTCCACCAAGGGTGAGAGAGAGAGAGAGAAATGAGGGGTTAACGTCCACAAACTAGGTCATTTCGGGACTAACATATGGTTTAATCTAATTCAATAATTCGCTTGCGCGTAGGGGTCTTTAGCAGTGGGAGGAAACCGGAGGAGCCGGAGAAAACCCACGAGGCTGGACAGGCGATCCTACTCCTTGTCACGTACAACCGGGGATTCGAAACCACGCCAGTCGACTCAATGACAGGCCTTATGATACAGCACACACGTGCTAACCATTCGGCCATCCAACCCCCCTTCCACCAAGGGTGATACCGTAGACAAGTGGGTTCTGAAGGGTCTGTATGTAATTTAATGGTAAGACAGTTCAAGAAATTATAAAAGGGAGAACACTTCTAACGCAGACAGACTGGTAGTTGATTAAATTTGGACGGCCAATGCTCTAGTATAAAGGGCTTTAAAATGTCGCTTCACTCACAGCTTATAAATTCATAGCGATATATTGTGTCCAGAAACGAGGCCATAATATAGGATGGTAGCGAATTGCGACGGAGTTCAATACACGCGAGATAGTATGAATAAGCAACATAATTTATCGCTCTCCTAATTTTGACGGGCATGTCTCAATGCTTCCCCCACTCACCACAAACACACTCCTATACAAGATAACACGATGGTATGGACATTGTGAAATGTGATAACGGTATTTGGATACTCAGCATTAATTTATTAAAGGTCGTGATAAATAAGAGGAAATAAAAATAGAATGACGTAATCACCTTATGTACATTTATGAACATCGATAACGGTCTATCAGGATATACACGAGTGACTCACAATTGCCTACATTTTTTCACCTGTGCCACAGTTACAGTAGGGGTTCACCTAGACGTATTTGTATCTATGGATTTGGGTAGTGCCTATCGTATTGATATTTTGGCATTCATGTTTGATATGACTCCCATTTTTGTGATATAGGTTTTAATCTTAAATACCTGAGTCTAACCCTAACCCCAATAGAAAGTAGGAAGTTCCATGTGGACACAGTACGGACGGCTAACCGTTAGTTGGTCGGTGTAAATGGGATGGGAATAGAACAGGGAGTCAGATCAAACATGATCGCCTACATTTTATGAAATCGTTGTGTGTATTTACGAAAATTCTGATTGATGAATTATTGTTAGTGATCATAGGGGGATTTTAATCCTCGTGCTTATCCGGGAACAATCCCCCAACCCTAATGGGATGGCATTTTGCCAATTTGGATACATGTATATAAGTGATGATCCTTTTTGGATAAATCTAATTTGTTTTAACGTGACGGGGAAAGTCTTATCGATCTCGGTCGATACCAGTTCAAGTGCTTATAATATAGCCTCTAATCGGAACTATTTTCTGAATAAAATGTCAAGTTGGGTTTGCTTTATGTATGACCGTCTATTACAGAAGATCGGTTTAATATTGAAATTTTAATTGACAACAGAGCGATGCCAATAAGATTAAGAATTTTGGTTCACGATGATTCAAGATTGTCACTAATGGCTGACTGCGCCTTTATTCTGAATGACGTATTTTAATTGCCAACGAGCAAAGTAAATAAGAATTTTGGTTCACACTGATTCCAGATTATCACTAATGATTGATAGAGCCTTTAGTCTGGATCAGGGGCGCCGGAACGGCGCGAGGGCCAGGGTACCAAAAGATAGGGAGGGGAAGGGGGATGTCTCTCCCCCGGGCCTCTAGAAAATTTTGAAATTTGTCAATACCGAGAACGCTGTTTAAAGTGCCTCTAAAATTCCAACATAAAACCCTTTTAAATACATGATAATGAAAGAGACAAAGGCCTGATTATAAATGAATAGACCAGTAAAAAGGTTGAAAACTTTCATCATTAGGGCATGGGTATTCATGTATACCCCAGAAAAGGGCAGGGTACCATTTGTATACCCTGGTACCCTGGATCACGTATTCGTCAAGTATCAACTAGGCCAAACAGCTGTAGGTATGATATGATATCATGCGTCTCTAGCATGTTCTAGACTACTAGGCTATAATATATACAGTAAATAATGTATAAATAACAAGTGTAGACATTATGTTGGCACGTGGCGGTGATATATATATATATATACTAGTTCATACCTTCATGTTGACTCTGTGACCTAGTTACATATCCATCATTAATCATAAGCAATGATTTATGTAACATTATTATTATGATCTGTTAATTTATTATTAAATTGGATGAAGTTTGTCCTGTTTCACTTAGTGACCACTGTTTGTCGTGTATTTTGTACACGGTGAACAGTCCATATGCTGATTACAAAATTTTGCCGTATTACACTATTTTGCCTATACCGTTTTTTAGGACTTCGAATTTTGTCTAATGGTTTGGATTGTTAGTACTTGGTTTTATTTTATTCATATCGACTCTGTGTTCTAGTTAATATATAACTATCATTAATCATAACAATCCTTTATGTAACATTATCAAAATGATCTGTCATCATTAAGACGAAGTTTGTTTTGTTTCACTTAGTGTATTGTATACCTTCTTCATGTCGACTCTTGTGTTCTAGTTACATATCCATTATTAATCATAATAAAACATGATAACTTTATTATTAAAATAAAGTTTGGTCTGTTTCACTTGGTGTATACCTTCATGTCGACTCTGTGTTCTAGTTGATATATAACAATTATTAATCATAAAAAAATAATTGATTATGTAACATTATCATGATATTTTATTATTAAGATGAAGTTTGTTCTGTTTCATGTCGACTCTGTGTTCTAGTTAATATATAACTATCATTAATCATAACAATCCATTATGTAACATTATCAGCATGATCTGTTGTTATTAAGATGAAGTTACTTAGTGTATACCTTCATGTCGACTCAGTGTTCTAGTTGATACATATCCATCATTAAGCATAAAAAACCCATTGATTATGTAACATTATCAGCATGATCTGTTATAAGATGAAGTTTGTTCTGTTTCATGTCGCCTCTGTTCTAGTTGATACATATCCATCATTAACCATAAAAAACATTGATTATGTAACATTATCAGCATGATATGTTATTATTAATACGAAATTTGTTTAGTTTCATGTCGACTCTGTGTTCTAGTTAATATATCAATCATTAATCATAAAAACATTTATGTAACATTATCAGCAAAATGTTATTATTAATAAGATGTAGTTTGTTCTGTTTCACTTAGTGTATACCTTCATGTCGACTCAGTGTTCTTGTTGATACATATCCATCATTAACCATAAAAAATCATTGATTATGTAACATTATTATCACGATCTGTTATTATTAACACGAAGTTTGTATTGTTTCGCATTAATCAGAAGCCCTAAAGCTTTTCAGTTTTTTTTTATTTAAAGTGTATTTATCATAGATATATTTTGATCGACGTCTTTGTTAGGTTAGACGTAAGTGTCATTGACAAAATAAAAATCATTGATTATGTAACATCATCGTGATATGTTATTATTACGAAGTTTGTTTAGTTTCGCATTAATCAGAAACCCTGAAGCATTTCATTTTTAAAGTAGATTTTTTAACATATGAGATCGATCAATACCCTTAGGGTTTTTCTTAAAATATGACAATTGTCGTAAAAATATGGCGACAGATAATAAACCCATACTGATTAACATCAAAGAAATTAACCCTAATTTTTCACAAAGAAATTAACCCTAATTGAAAAACAATGAGTGAGTTAAGAGTGAAATTTATAATGACTACGTCCCATTAACATTAATCAAGAATTATGTAAGAGCTAAATCTGTATGTTGCTTGTCTTTCTTTCTTTAGGCCTGAAATGTTGTCTAAATTATCAATTAGACATTTAGTTATGGATGATTTAACGTCAAATTGGTAATGATACTTGAGGCCTAAAATTCAATGGCTAATATCTCTTTCAGAGTGGGGCAATTTGACTGAAATTTTCAACATATTCTCTTTGCGTTATCTATTTTTTTTAAAAATTATGCCAGCTCTTTATCTAATCTGCCATAATTCCTCTTTTATGAAGCATTACATAAGAGCTAAATCTGCCCGTTGCAGGTTTTTGTTTTAGATTCAAACATTATATAAATTATTATGTAGACATTTATTCACATGGTGCCTCCATAATCAACCGAACTATATTAAATCGTTTAGAACCACTTCACCATTTACGGGGATCGCGTGGTTAAGTGGGTAAGACGCTGGCTCGCTAGCCTGGAGGTCGGGTGTTCGATCCCTGTATTGGCCAATAAAGTTCATCCCTTGCCAGTCATGCAGGACGGAGGGCCTGACAAGGACAGCTGTCTAGTCATTCGGATGAGACGAAAAACCGAGGTCCCGTGGATACATTGGAATGCACGTAAAAGATCCCTTGGCAGTTGGAATTCGATATAAGAGTAGGCAAAATTTCCCTCATAGCACACTGGATGGCGTATGTCCGTCTTCATTATCCCAATTTAGGAGCAGAACAGTAGGACGTTAAACCCCATTTCATTTCATTTCTTCACCATTTAATAATGTAACGATACAATGGATAACCGAGACTAGGTACTTGACAATCAGACATTTCGAACTTTTATAGAAGGAATGGTCAGATCTTTAACGAATACTTACATAACGTATCTTTAAAGCAATGCTTACATAACGTATCTTTAAAGCAAATGACTTCTTTATAATTAAATAAACTTGACACATTCTTCATAAGGCCAGTTAAAAGAAGGGGATGAACATATCTATAATTTGGAGAATTTTAAGCCCAGGTAGAAAAACCAGTTAACGATTATTCAACACGTTTGTTCAAACTTCCCCGTTTGTTGTTGATTCGTTTGTGTAAACTGATTCGTTCAATCTTTGATGTGTTCTCAGTTGGGAATTTATTCTCAGTGTAGTAACTTTTTTTGTGGATTGGCTATGTCAAGTCGTTCCCTTGGAGGACTTCCATTATATATATGAATTACCAATTTTGGATTTTTTTTTAAAGGGTTGCCAAGCATATTATGTCTTGTAGACCTAAAGAAGCCGGACATTGTACAATTTGTTATTCTTAACAACACATAAAGTGATGGGGCTTAGATGGCCGAAGGGTTAGCACGTGCGCGCTGTATCATAAGGTCTGTCATTGAGTCAACTGGCGTGGTTTCGATCCCCCGACAAGGAGTAGGGTCGCCTGTTCAACCTCGTGGGTTTTCTCCGTGCCCTCCGGTTTCCTGCCACTGCTAAAGACCCATACGCGCAAGCGAATTGTTGAAATAAAATTGAACCATGTGTTAGTCCCGAAATGACAGTTTGTGTCGAGTGGATGAAAACACCATCTCTCTCTCTCTCTCTCTCTCTCTCTCTCTCTCTCTCTCTCTCATAAAGTGATGTTTATTCAATTCTAATAAAGGAAACCGCTATCTATTACACGTACCATCAGAATTATTTTATTGTTTGTTTTATTGCTTGACACGCACTATTAATATGAATAAACTAAAAATTTACAGCACAATTAAATTAATCGTACGTGTATGTTTTAATAACTTCTATTAGCATAATTATTTGTATTGTCAATGTTGCTACTTCACTGCACCAATTGTATAGAGTGGCTTGAAAATTGCTTTTTGGATATACATGTAGTTGTGCAACATACCAGTCGATCAGAGTCTATCTGCAAGGACCAAGGACTAGTTCTCGAAAACCGCTCTCAATTTTAATTTAATGCTCACAGTTTTATTTCGAACCTTTCACGCCTAGGTTATTTTACACATCGATATGGAAATAAAAGCTATTAAATCCGTTACTGTGATATATTGCCATTGGGTTGGGTTAACTTTTAACCTTTATTGTTAGGCTTATTTTCATATATTATAATGAATAAAGGTACTGAATCTTTTCAAGTGTATTCTGTTGATGTTTTACCTGTATTGTGGCTTAATTACCCAGATCAGAAGCCATGGATAATATGCGTGTAAGGTATAACATGGAGTTGACCCGGTTAAAAGTTCATTACGACAATTAGATGATTAGAGCTGACCATTCTGTCAGCACGGATTGTTACGGTTCATCCAAGATAACGCATCTTGGATTACAGCTGAAAAAAAAAAAATTATAATGACTTAAGTGATATCACAATTCGAATTAACCATTTACCGTAGCCATTTCCATTAATTTTTTTATTTACATTGTATAACGAATACTATAATTTGTGTTTAGGAAACCGGAAAAGCCAGAGAAAACCCACGAGGCGACCCTACTCCTTGTCACGTACAACCGAGGAATCGACACCACGTCAATGACAGACCTCATGATACAACTCGCACGCGCTAACCATTCGGCCATCCGATTCACACCCCATTGGCGTGTTAAAAAAACATGTGCACATAACTCTGCGCTGAAAGAAACATCAACCCTTCTTGAACGTCAGTTGTACCGGATCGACACGTTAGCTGCACCGTATCGACGTCTCTTCCATAAAATCTCTATATCTGAGTTCAGTGTTTTACTTTCTGGAATTGGAATCCACCACGACGGTTGTAGAAATAGATATTGAATTGCAAATATCGCCAACGACATTACTACCGTCCCACATGGAGAGAAGTTGGCTATTTCAGGCTTCACAAACAGGACGAACATTATTAAACATAGCGTAAAAATATTGCTTGGGGAATTTTAGCGGATTTCATGGAATGTGTAATTAGTAGTGTGCGTCACTGTATACATTAAGACATGTTTATGTCTTTATTGTCTTGATATATTTACGAAAACTCTCGAATCAATTTTGCTCACGATTTAAGAATCCAGACGTATATTATGAAATTGTTAAGTTAATAATGCCTGTATAGTTTTATGTGGCATCTGTTCAATCAGTCTTCATGGCTTTATGTCAGAGTTCCGTGATGTTTGACTCGATCAATGGTTCTAGCAGCATGGTAATTCTACATTCTGAGGTTATTCATTCTCCTGAGGAAAAACAGCAATAATTTATACTGCAATTTAAACAGGAGCGGCGGCACCAGTTCAAAACCCAATGTATACAATTTTGTATTCAAAGCTAGCAATTTCCAAGCTCCAGAAACCAATTTATACTATAATTTATACTTGAGCGGCGGCGCCAAGGCGCTGGGTGAAGCTATTCAAACATTAATCTGTGTATTTTAATTCGAAGCTAGCAATATTCTTGAAGCTCCACGACCCAATTTCCTGATCGATGCTAAATCGCGTATTTATCCGGGAATGTATGAGACATCTTTATGAAGGATGCACCTTCTGTTGAAAATTCCTGGCACCGCCACTGTATCAGTCCTACCGATCATTACTATGGTGCAATTATTTCTGTTAGCTGTGTTCTCCAAATAGCGCATTTCGCCGGGACTGTGTGGGCATTTTAATAGGGGTGGCGCCTTCTATCGCGAAATCCCGGAACTTCCCCAGATTTACACTGCATCAGTGTATATTATGTGGAATTGATTTTAATGTCTGACGTAAAATGAGAACCAATAATAAAAAAAAAACCCAATCAACCATTACGAATTCTATATATGTAGCATTAATTACTATATTTTTGTTGCAGGACGGAGGGCCTGACAAGGACAGCTGTCTAGTCGTTCGGATGGGACGAAAAACCGAGGCCCCATGTACGCATTGCCGTGCACGTAAAAGATCCCTTGACAGATGGAATTCGATATAAGAGTAGGCCATAGTGCCGCTGTCCGAGCAAAATTTCCCTCATAGCACACTTTGTGGCGTATGCCCGTCTTCATTAGCCCAGTTCGGAGCAAAACAGTAGGACGTTAAACCCCATTTCATTATATTTTTGTTCATTTTATATTTTTCAGATTTTCCAATGCTGGATATAGTTCAAACCCAGGCGTGTTCAGCCAATGGCAGAATGGCAGTAGATTTCACTTCATATCTGTTGGCATCCAGTCCTCCGACACCATCCTCGGGTTACGATCTTCTTAGTTATGCCTTCAGTCAACAGAACTCCCCATTTACAACGGATACGTGTGTATTTAAATGTAACGGAACAATCGAAAGTAGCGCCAGTTTAAGTAAAAGACGGAACGGTCCACTTAAATCCATCATCATAAAATCGGAAAGCTGTGAAACTTTCTCTAGTTCGGAGGAGACGACCCCAGTCAGTCCGCTCTCCCCCGGGAAGACGAGGAAAAAAGTGACATTTGCTGATCATCAGGGAATGGCCCTTACAGCAGTTCGTTTTCTCACAGAACCTTCAGATGTCCCACCACGACTGAAACCAGAGGTATTAGCATCTTTAACACAAGGAGCAACTGCGGGTGCCAGTGTTGAACCTCCTCTGAAATTACAGTTTACGCAACCGGCCTCGGACTATCTAGCGTTCCGCGATCGTTTGGAAAAAGAGTGTGTCTCTCTCGAAAATGTGATTTTGAAAGACTATGCCGTTGTTGGCACCACAAAAGTTAAAAACATTAGTTTCGAAAAGAGGGTGTTTATAAGACTAACTTTAGATTCGTGGGAATCACACGAAGACGTTGAAGGAGTCTTTGTACCAGGCCCTGGTGATTCTTCAGACAGGAAAAACATTTTCGATACATTTTCGTTTGAATTCAATGTTCCCACAAACTTTGGCTTAGATGATAAAGTGGAATTCGCAGTAGGGTATGAAGCAAATAATCAGCAATTTTGGGACAATAATTTTGGCACGAATTACACAATAGTTTCGTCTGATTTTAAGGAAAGTCATCACCAGCCATCTTCGTTTCATCGCGAGGAGAAGGTTAGTTCTTGGACCCAGTATGCGTGTTGGAATCATGCAGATAATTCTACCCCCTACTGGTGAAACTTGAGATCGGCTGTGTGGTATCTAAGCTATTAATAATCGACTCATGTCAGCTGATGGACGAGTCGATAGATTTCAAAGTCAGGGGTGTTTAGTACAAAACTCGAACGGCAAACAAGCCATGATTATCAACTAATATATACCATACATGTACTAATTAATGTACCGTGCTGTTGTCAAAGTGTTGTCACCATATTCAGCAAACATCATCATTTGAATCAAAGGAGAATTGCAAAAATTTCAGCTGAAGCCGTAATATATGTAATGACACTTTGAACATAAGCAAAAATAATATCTAAGATGCAGTTATTAACCTAAACACAGTGATCAGTGTTATTGTCCTGCATGGAATCTAATCTTCCAAACTATTTGAATATTTGTCGCAATGAAATATGTAACACTATCAGTGAAATATATAGCTATCGGTGAAATATTTAACACAAACGTTAAGATATTTGTCGCGGTGAAATATTTAACACAAACATTAGAATATTTGTCGCGGTGAAATATTTAACACAGTGAAATATTGAAGTTTTAACACTAACATGAACGTTAGAGTATTTGTGGCAGTGAAATATTTATCACTAACGTTAAAATATTTGTCACAAACGTTAAAATATTTGTCGCAGTTAAAATATTTGTCGCAGTGAAATATTTAACATGAACGTAAAAATATTTGTCACAAACGTTAAAATATGTCACAAACGTTAAAATATTTAACACGAACGTTAAAATATTTGTCGCAGTGAAAATATTTATCACAAACGTTAAAATATTTGTCGCAGTGAAAATATTTATCACAAACGTTAAAATATTTGTCACTATGAAATATTTATCACAAACGTTAAAATATTTGTCGCAGTGGAATATTTAACACAGGTGAATGTTGTGGTATTTTGAACAATATCAACATTTTCAACGGCAGGTAATGGACAAATATTCACATAGACCTGCTCGTGTATTTGTGTTGAACTTGAAGGGAAATTGATGTTTCATCTAGTTGTATTTCCTAATATACCCCCAATATATATCTGCTTTAATTCGATGATGTAGTGAGATTGTTTTCTTTTTTCTGTGATATAATGTGAAGAATTGTCTATATTTTATATTACATATTGTCTATTTTCAAACAAATTAAATATTTAATCAGATGCTCTTTTGAGAATTATATTAATATAATTGATTTGATGAAATAAAAGCCTTAGTGATTTATTAGTCCAGATACAAGTATTAGTTTAACCAGAGCTAGAAATAAAATCCCGCCTTTTTTAAAATTTCTGTAAAATCACTGCTTTGATCCAATAAAATTCCGTCTTTAGAAGTCTTTTGTATAAAATCACTCTTTTGGTTCAATAAAAGCCTTAATTAAAGACTAAATATTTGCTTATTGGCTATCGATAACCAAAGATAAAGAAAAATCCCCACGGTGTTTTTTAAAAATATTTTGGCATGAAATCCTTGCATAATTTTATATCATACCAACCTCATGTATTATTACAGCCAATAGACAAAGATTATGTTTTAAATATGTTTTGTTATTTACAGTATTATTGATTTGTTACCTTTGATATTATTAAAGCTATTTTGTCCGGTAGCCATTATACAGGTGATACAGGTGTTCTGGATAAATAAATGATGTAGTGTGCCAGGTATGTGATATATAGAAAGGTATATATACAACCTATCTGTACCCAGAATATCACCATATCTGAATTTGACTTAGTGGGTGTAGCGCACTGATTAAAACACAGATCCTATTTCGTTTCGTTTTTTATAGTTCAAAATTTTGTTTTACTTGTATTTACTACACTAGGCTCTGGAAGAGTTGATATACAACTCGTGTTCTGGTTGAAGTGAGGGTTTAGTCAATGAAACGGTCTGTTATAGCGAGTTCTTGGCTTGCAACGCTGATTGATTAACCAATGTCTGAAGTCATGGGGACAAAAGCCTCTTTAGGACCCCTAACGCGACCTTCCAGTACAACCGGTCAGATATTTATGTAGCGTAGGCCATCGAAAGTATAATAAAACGAAACGAAATATAGATCTGTATTTTTAATCAGATTTGTGGGCGTAGCACACTGATGGACTTACCAGAACTTGATCTGAATCATGATACTAAGTCATAGTTGTAGTGGTGTTTTGTTTTAGCAAATCATTCTTACGTGCTTTAGTGTAGACAACAATGACAATTCATTTAGTAGTAGTATTATGATTCGTTATGCAAACATTTTGTTATGTGACGTATTTAATTACCTTTTACTGTCCCTTTAAGGCCCCAATAATCAGGGCCCTGTTTCACGAAATTTTAACTAAGATAAAATCAAATCCAAATTTTAGTAATTTGATTAGACAATATTAGATTGATTTTAGTGCTTAGCCAATCAAAATTGAAGTATCTACTAAAATTTGGATTTTATCTTTAGTTCAAATTTCGAGAAACAGGGCCCAGGTGTATTTACTTTGGCAAAACAAGAGAAAGGTTACCGTGGTTTCGCAGACTTACGGGTGGTAGGAATATCGCCTCAACCTTGTCTTAAGGTACGAATGCCTGACTATATTTACCGCAGTCTATAACGGAGACTCGTCGATTGAGTTGCTAAGAGTGCAGTGTTAACCAGTTTTTGTCTGACTATGTAAAGATAGGGCATACCGCTGGCTTTAACGGAGGCTAGTCGATTGAGTAGCTTAGAGTGCAGTTTTTGTCTGACTATGTAAAGATAGGGCATATGTTCAAAGCTTTAATACGTTTCTTTATAATTTTAATTCTTGAACAAACTTACATGTTAAATAACGAGACGTTATTTGTTTAATGTATTTCTTTGTCTGTCTAACTGATTTTCTTAATACCTTAATAAATTTAACCTGTGTGAAAAAATTAATTAGACGATGTGAAAGTCATCCTTAAGTCGTGTTCTTTTGGAGAAAATGTCAGAGTAGAATCTTATTTAGTTTGCTTGTACTCTGTGAACTAAAAAAAAGGCCCCCAACGTTTATGTTTTCTTTCCTGGTGGCATTAATATCGGGCATTAAAAGTAGGGCCTGCTTTTCCAAGATGGAAGGTTTGTGCAGAAAAGGGGGAGGTTTTATTAAACCCAAGTCGTTTAGCAGGGTCGACGCCAATTCACTAGAACTACCTTATCTTAAAGTGAAAAACTAAATTTTGAACTGGATCAAGTTTTCACTTTAAAATATCCCTTCTTAACTTAAGTATTTAATTGAATGTGGACCCATGTGATGATGTAATATTGTGATAAATTAAAGAATTTATGGGGACTGTTTTCGAAATTGTATTAAAAATCCCCGAGTCCATTAATTATTATGTTTATTATGAATTTAAAATACGCGTACAAGTGTATTTGTTAATAGACTATAGCAGATATTGCAGTGGTGGGCAAACTATTTAGGTGAAGGGCCAAACACAAAGTTTTGAAACAAAGCGAGGGAAGTGACGTCAATTAGGCAACTACGTCATTGGGTGACGCTGCAAGCTATAAATAGCCCTACAAAGATTATTAATCCTACAGAGTGTTCAGTTGGGGCCCAACAATAAGTAATTTCGATTTTTTTTTATTTCATTTAGAGATAAAATTACTCATAAATTTTCAAATGTAATGGAAAGAGTCTGGCGGGCCGGATGACGAGGCTTCGCGGGCCGTAGTTTGCCCACCACTGATTATTATTATTGTGTTAAATTAGAGTTAACCCCCCATTGATGGATGGACTGGTTAATCGGGTATCCTGGATGTTACGTAGACTGGATAACCTGTTCTAATACATCAGACTCGCTCCTACGTCACTCCTTTTCTGACTTGCATATTGAAGTCAGTATAGCGTAGTGACGTATGAACCAGCCTGACGTCATTTAGAGCAGGTTATCCAGTCGATTATCTGGATGAATTATGTGGAAAATGGCGGTGCTAACTTGTTTACCATATAAGGAGTGTATACTCATTATTTATAAACAATACTAATTAATGTATATAGAGGTATGATTCGTTTTGTAAGAAAAAAAAACTGTATGTATCTTTGTATGTATGAAGTTATTTCATGTTAAAAATAAACGAATGTGTATGTGCATAATATTTAATAAATGTTTTTTTATTGTTCTCTCTCGAAATGAAGTGGGGGGTGGGGGCGAATGGTTAGCACGTGCGTGCTGTATCATAAAGTCTGTCATTGAGTCAACTGGCGTGGTTTCGAATCCACGATTGTACGTGACAATGAGTAGGGTCGACTGTCCAACCTCGTGGGTTTTCTCCGGGTCCTACGGTTTCCTCCCACTGCTAAAGACCCCTACGCGCAAGCGAATTATAGAAATAAAACTGAACCATGTGTTAGTCCCGACCTAGTTTTTGTGTCGAGTGGACGTTAAATCCCATTTCTCTCCTCTCGAAATGAAATGGGATTTAACGTCTGCACATATACTGGGCTAATGAAGACGGGCATACGCCATACAGTGTGCAATGATGGAAATTTTGCCCGGGAAGCGGCACTATGTCCTACGCTTATATCGAATTCCAACTTCTAATGGATCTTTTAAGTGCACGCCAATGTATACACGGGACCTCGGGTTTTCGTCACATCTGAACGACTAGAAAGCTGCCCTTATCAGGCCCTCCGTCCTGCATCACTGACAAGGGGGGGGGGGCAGAACAGTAGGACGTTAAACCCCATTTCATTTCATTTCAATACAAAAGGTCAAGATCACTGAATGGAAGACCGTCCGAATGAACAATCTGAAACTGCGTCACTATTCTGGAATAACCAAAATGCTTTACATGTATTTCTACGCGTACCAAGATACGGTGGAGGTCAAGCAACCTATATGTTACGAAAAATGCCAAGTGTTTTACGACTCTCGACCAACATCGGCACAGGTGCTGTTCTTCGTTTTTAACGTCCGCTTCCACCGAAGGTGATATCGCAGACAAGTCTTATATTTCATTTGTATTATCAAACCGCATGCGCAGTGGTCTTTCCTGTGGGAGGAAACCGGAGTAAACCCACGAGGTTGAGAAGGCGCATCTGCACAGGTGCTGGGAAAGACTATTACTATACACAGAGACAATGCAATATACAAAAACTTACTTTATATTTCCTAATTTTGTATATTGTATTCCCCTAAAGTAAAACAAATTTTACCAGTAATAAACACAGCTACACCAATCTGCACATATAAAACTAACATCCGGGAGATTTCGGCATCGATGATCGATTAAAGGTGTTGCGGTAGTCGGTAGTTTGGCTCCATAATAAGTGAATGGGCCTTGAGGGAATCCACACCAGTTCCACGTCAAATTGTTGGCGTGCACGTAAAAGAACCATGACAGTTGGAATTCGAAATAAGAGCAGGTTGAAGCTCTGCTGTCCGGGCAAAATGTCCCTCGTATGCCCGTCTTCATCAGACCAGTCGGTGGAGAGCATTGGAACCCTAAGTCCCATATTAAAAGTTCCATAATTCCGTTGCTACGACATTTTGTACCACTCTCAGCTTATGTCAAGTGGGGGGGGGGGGGCATATCGCGTCATTGTGTTTAGATTGTGTGCCCTCTCTCATGCATGGGGGATATCATGTTTTCTAAGTGATGAATTTAAAAATGATGCTGGAGTCATGCAATGAAATAACCTGAGTCTCTTCTATTTATTACATTCACAGATGAAAAAATTTCAGATATGTAACCGATCGATCGAGCTTTTAATTTTTCGGAACTGGGCCTGAAAATGTTAGTCAATATCATGGCAAATAGAACCAAATTCTCGTTAACGAGAGGCTAAGAAATGGGACAGTATCTTGTGGCCTATCTGTCAATTTGGCCTGTTTTGTGATTGTCTGTTTACCTCATTAATTCATTTAGACTGAGACCGACTGCGGTGAGTACTTTTTTTGAGACCGACTATTTTTTTGCCATGTGGAAAACATTTCATAGAAGAACATACTCACAACAGAATAAGAGTGACAAACATTTTTTCAAACATGACAAGCAGACATGGTTATTTTATACTATAGTTTTGTGTGACGTATGCAATTTAGGCACAACGGATTCACGCAAATACTTAGTATTTGGGATCTATTCTGGCATTGTTTGTTTACCGCATTAATTCATTAAGTCGCCGATGCATAATTTTGAGACCGACTGCAGTGACTGCACTTATTTTGAGACCGACTATTTTCTCCCTGGGAGAAATTTTGTTCATAGACCAACATACTCACAACAGAATAAGAGTAAAGCACAACATTTTTTCAAACATGATAAGTTCACAAGGTTATTTTATTCTAAAGTTTTTCGTGAGTAGCGTGACGTATGCAGTTAGCACTTATTTTGATACCGACTGCTCTTATTTTGCGACCGACTGCACTGATTTTGCGACCGACTATTTTTCTTCCTGGGGGGAGGGGGGGAGGGTGTAACCCCCCCCCCCCACATTAACGCCCCTGTGCACGTGCTACCTGTCTACAGCTAGCTCCGCCTGAGATCATAATGACGTATGACGTAGATGGATCGCTGCGAGCAGTTTGTTGAACACCATTGGCAACAAATAAAATAATTTTCCTCATTGGACACTATATGATGCATGTCCGTGTTCATACGCCCGATTGATGCAGTAAAGTTAAGCGTTAAATCCCATTCGGTTTCCGTTAATGCAGTTGCGAATGAACTATGATTAAGCCTATAGATGAAAATTTGCCAATATTTATCAGCGCTACAAGGTGGAGTGTTAGAGGTCGTTATGTACGAACAAGGTGAAGGTCGGATTTCTAGACAATTAATCTTGATATAGGATACAATATTGCGTAAACAAGTTGTTTGCGTTCTACCTTGAATTGAGTCCAGAGAATTCTCCACTCCCAAATTTGATATCTATATATATCTCTAAATGGCCTCGAGTTCTTGGGGGTATTCAAAGTCACGTTCACAATACTCGCACGTCCACAGATATCGTATATATGTATTGTTCTTTGCTTTTACAATGCCACAGGGGGATCACGGTGGCTAAGTGGGTAAGACGCTGGCTCGCTAGCCTGGAGGCCGGGTGTTCGACCCCTGCATTGGCCTAGAAAGTTCATCCAGATTTTCCGGCGTGGTTCCCTCTTGTCACAGAGATTGGAGAGAGAGAAAGAGAAATGGGATTTAACGTCCACTCGACACAAACTAGGTCATTTCGGGACTAACATATAGTTTAATTTTATTTCAATAATTCGCTTGCGCATATAGGGGTCTTTAGCAGTGGGGGGGGGGGGGAAACCGGAGGACCCGGAGAAAACCCACGAGGTTGGAAATGAAATGAAATGGGGTTTAACGTCCTACTGTTTTGCTCCGAACTGGGCTAATGAAGACGGGCATACGCCATACAGTGTGCTATGAGGGAAATTTTGCCCGGACAGCGGCACTACGGCCTACTCTTATATCGAATTCCAACTGTCAAGGGATCTTTTACGTGCACGCCAATGTGTACACGGGACCTCGGTTTTTCGTCCCATCCGAACGACTAGACGGCTGTCCTTGTCAGCCCCTCCGCCCACGAGGTTGGACAGGCGACCCTACTCCTTGTCACGTACAACCGGGGATTCGTATTTATTACCGAGATTGGGTTGAAGAACAAGTATGATGCTCTAGACCCCCTATCCCATGGCCGGCTTAACGGCAGTATGGCTCCCCCTACCCTATCCCGACAAAGCAGTGCACTGCGGGGTCCCCTATCTACAACAATTAACGGGAATAAAAATGTAAATTAAACATCTATTTAATTTATTGCTACTTCCAATAGTTCTAACAAAATCAGTATTTAATATTAAAAAGATGGAGCCCTATGCTCATTGGGCCCCCAGACAACTGCCCAGCGTACCCATTCGTTAGAAAGGGCCCGTTATATATTTAAAAAGTCGAGGGAAATAAAGTATATATAAACAGTTTATTACATGGCTACACAGGCCCGTAGCTAACGGCGGGGGGCGGGGGCGGCCAGGGGGGCAGCCCAACCAATGGCACTCGACGTTGGTCGTTGGCTTTGTATTGTGTCCAATTGAAAGGGCGCGGTTCGGCACCCAGGAGGGGCAGCTGCACCCCCTTGCTAGCCACGTATATACATTATGCTATGTACACTATATACATTATGTAACAAAACTTCTAATTTCATGTGAGAGACCCTAGGATGAGGTTCCTCCCAATTCCCAAAATCACAACTAGGGGGGAGAGAAATGGGGTTTCTCATCCACTCGACATAAATTATGTAATTTCGGGACTAACATATCGTTCAATTTTATTTCAATAATTCGCTTGCTCGTAGCAGTCGTAGGGGTCTTTAGTAGTGGGAGGAAACCGGAGGATCCGGAGAAAACCCACGAGGTTGGACAGGTGACCCTACTCCTTGTTACGTACAACCGGGGAATCGAAACCACACCAGTTGACTCAATGACAGACCTTATGATGCAACGCGCACGCGCTAACCATTCGGCCATCTCCCCCTTTGGGGCTAAATCTATTTGTTATGTAAAGCTCAATTTTGTCATCTTCGCTGAGATGTAAATGTGTTTAGGGCACGTGGTTGTTGGCGAGTTTGTAGGTTAGGGTCAGGGTAAGCATTGTGGTTGACGCTAGCCCTGTTCACATCTCGTGATCTATGACGATACATTGAGCTGGCCCCCTCTACCCTGTGAATAGAGATTAAATCATATCTGTCGCTCTCTTTATCTATCTCGTTTTATAGTTTTGCTGAATTGGCAAGTTTTATTATGCACTATATATTTATCTTGTAATGCATTTAAACAATGGACAAGTGGACTGGAGACATGGGCTCTACATAGATAATACATACACCACAGCCATTTACCTAAAGTATGTCAAGTTCACAATTCTGACTCAAACCCTAACAGCCTTCACCTTTAATATAGTAGTACGTGATATTAAAGCAATCTATAGCATAGATCGTAAACAATATACGCCATTTCGTCTGTACATTGGAATTTGTCAATTACCGATAAAAATACCGTGCCTTCAATAATAGTGGCGTTGTTAATTTCACTGTGCAAAACTTCCTTGATGGCCAGATTAGGTGTATACAGAAATGAAATGGGCTAATGAAGACGGGCATACGCTATTCAGTGTGC